AGGGGATAATAGACATAACCATATACGGAAAAAATGGCAGACCTGGTGAGAGAGAATATCTGAAGAGTCCTCGGACTCAGACCACGTACAGATATGTTCTCATTCATATATTGTAGAAAAATTCATATATTGTAGAAAATACAAAATAGGGGCATAAGAACTGGGAGGTCTAAAGGAAGGACCTGGAAGCCTTTCTAAAGAGTATCAAGCAGATTCCACTCCACAAGCTTTGAAATCACGGCATAATTTATAAGTGATAAAAGAAACTTACGAAGCAAATTGTCCTGAGAGGCTGAAACATCTCCGGATAAAAACTTCCTGGTGGAGCAAGGAGTTCTCGAAGAACAGGTTAGGGAAAAAAAAATTTTTTAACAAGGCAAAAAGAAAAAATTGACAATGGAATGGAAGATCTTTAGAAATGACTAACGCTGGTATAGTAAAGTGATAATTATCGCCAAAAAAAAGCTGGAGAGACTTCAGTGAAAACATTGAGAATGCTCCGGAAGTGTTCAGACTGAACAAAATCCTCAGTAAGGACAATTCTTTTCGTTTGGACTACCTTAAGCCTAGGACTACCTTCTAAATGGTAATTATACCGAAACAATTGATGAAACGCTTAAACATCTAATGTCTATCCATTTTCCAGATTTCCAGGAGAGGAATCATATCGGACCTGTCAGGCAAAGACTCAACCCAAGAGACAATACAAACAAGGGAATGAATACTCAAAAGTAATATCTCCTTGTGAAATGGAATGAGCTATTAAAATCTTCGAACAAGGCACCAGAACCAGATATATATATATATATATATATATATATGTGTGTGTGTGTGTGTAAGTGTTAACAAAAGTGCTTAGGATTAGCATAACCATGAAGCATATTTCATTAGTCTGGCACTAGGGTAGTTTTTATACCCAAGTTAGGAAGAAATGATCATATACAACCCAAAGATTACAGATCTATCAGTCTTACGTCTTTTATTTTGAAAACGTTAGAAAAACTGATTGATAGATACTTAAAAAATGGCCCTTTATTTATATGATCATTAAACTCTTCCCAGCATGTTCATAAGGAAGACAAATCAACAGATATTGCCCTGCATCTTATGAGTAGGGTGGAGGTTTAAATGATTGCGAAGGGTCACACAATAGGTGTCTACACAATAGGTGTCTTTATTGACATTGAGGGAGTTTTTGATAATACTTTAAATATATCGATTAAAGAAGTCGTGGAAAGACACAGATTCCGGAAGCTCGTGGATTAAATGCAAAACATGCTGGCAAGAAACTGACTCAGCCATAGCGATAGTACTATTGAGGGACGTCCGGTGAGATTGCCTGCAGGGGGAGAGTGCCTCTCTATGGTGTCTAATAGTGCATGAATTACCCCATAAAATTGAGAGAGTCAGACTTCCAGATCTACAGCTACGAAAGATGACGTGACCGTGATAATCAGGAGAAACTTTCTTACTACTCAAGGAACGCATGGATGAAGCTCTGAAGATCATACAAAACGAGGAAACTGATGGTTATCCAGCCAAGACCTCGAATATCATTTTCACCAGAAAATACAAACCCTTAGAGGTCTGGGATGAGAAGATAAATTACTAACTTGATCAAATATCTGAGTACTCATCTAGATGCGAAACTAAATTGGAGTTTAAACCTCGACGAAAAGAAAAACAAATGCTACATTTTCATGGAATTGTAGAAGGGCCATAAGCAAAAATTTTAGCTTAAATCCCAGAGCTTATGGCTGTAAAAATAGTATTAATACTAAGATGAACATATGTTGCAGTAATTTGGTGGCCTAAGTCAAGAAGATTTCAAAGAACCTGTATAAAAGCCTGTAGAGAAGATACCTAAAGGCTACAACAAGGGCCATAAGGATCGCACCAACTGAGGCGCTGGAAGTAATCCTCCATTCTTCAACCTTGAGTTAGGTGATTATCAGCATAATCAGACAGACAGCATATAGATTAATATGTCAAGATCAAGAAGAATCAAAAAAGACCAGGTCATATGAGACTGGGACTTTTCGACACTCTTTCACATTAAAAAAATAAAATCTCCAGAAAACATCTAGAAAACAGCTAGAGAAGTCCATCAAAGTCCTTGTAGGTCCAGCTAGGAGGACTGGCAAGATTCAAATTTCTTAATCAATCCAAACGTAGACATTTGGAACGAATCAGGAACAAATGGCCTCTTCAGAACGGGTATATACATATAAGCCTAAAACCATGAAAAAGCAATGGATGAACTAGCCAGAGATTTTCAAACTGAGAATCTGACTATCCTGAAGTGTGCAGAAATCCTTCTGAATAAAAGAAATAAATACTGTACTTACATATATCTGCAGACAGTAGGATAGCCATTGAGATACTCGCTAAGATCTATATACATATATAGAATCATCTATAATATGGAAATGCACACAAGCTCTAGCAAAACTAAGGGAAACAAACAAAATTATCCTAGTATGGATTCCTGAACATCAAAATGTATCGAAAATGAGAAGGCAACTGATTAAAAGTGGAGATCAAAATGGATCCAAATAGATAAATCGTCAGAATTCCCTTTTCTACGAGCAAAAAATATATAAAAAGAAAATATATAAAAAGAATGGCTAGCAGAATTCTTGAAAAGTGACGAAAGGTTGCCGACAATCAAAACAATAATTAATGTACAATAATTAATTATACATCTCAAAAAACAATAATTAATTATACATCCCAAACAAGACAGAATGAAATAACTGATAGCTATGGAAAGAAACAAATTAAAAATAGACATAGATCTCCACGAGATTTACTTCTCAAAGTACATTTATACAATCTTGAACTCGCCGAACAGAAAAAAATTGCCGATAGTGTGAAGAGCAGAGCGGGGACAGCCTGCACATCCTGTACCATTGCTCTCTGTTCGCCCATAAAAGATAAAGATGGGGTTACATTTTCGTTAAGTCTGAAGATCTAAAAGATAAGAAAGTGAGCATAGATCTAATACATGATACAGGACTAGGTTAGACTGCTAAACTTCGAAAAATTTCGAAATGGGAAGTGATATAGCTAAATCATTGTAACGGTGACTGTTTATAATCGTACTTGCTGTTACTGCTATTACTACTATTATTACTACTGCTACTACTACTACTACTACTACTACTACTACTACTACTACTACTACTACTATTATTACTACTACTACTACTACTACTACTGCTACTACTACTGCTACTACTATATAAATATTAGGTGTACAACTTTGCTTCCGCCGTTTTCCTATAGATGGCTTTAGCGGTAAGTGGTGGTCGAAATAAATAGATCATAGACGTCGTACAATAAACTTGGGCATCTATCAACATAACCCCATAGAAACATTAGTCGATTTGTGTCTGCATCATAAAGTTATTCTCGATTGAAAATGTCAGTTTACGAACCAAATTCTCGTCATTTGCGGGAGGTTTTAATTTTTTGCTTCAATATGAAGAAATCTGAGGCTAAGGCTCATCGAATGCTCTCAAATACTTATGGTGAGGCCGCTATTAGTGAAAGAACGTGTCATGAGTGGTTTCAATGCTTCAAGAACGGTAATTTTAACGTCCAAGGTCATGCTCTGTATTTGGTGAGACCAGCTCGGCGTAGTGTATTATGAACTGTTAAAACCAACTGAAATAATCACAAGCGATCGGTATCGAACGCAATTCATGCGTTTGAGCTGAACATTGAAAGACAAACGACTGCAATACAACGAGAGATAAAGTGATTTTGCAGCATGACAATGCTCAACCCCATGTTGCGAAAGTGGTCAAGACATACTTGGAATGGGAAGTCCTACCCCACCCGCCGTATTCTCCAGACGTTGCTCCCTCTGACTATTACTTGTTTCGATCAATGGCACACGGCCTGGTTAACACTTCCGGTCTTATGAAGAAGTAAAAAATTGGATCGATTCGTGGATAGCCTCAAAAGATGACCAGTTTTTTCGACGCGGGATTCGTACGCTACCCGAAAGATGAGAGAAAGTAGTGGCCAGCGATGGACAATACTTTGAATCATAAATGTATAACCAATTTTTTACAATAAAGCTTCGAATTTCGGAAAAAAAACGGCGGAAGCAAAGTTGTACATCTAATATATAAATATACAAAAATATATACAATTATATATAAAATATGTCCAATATGTCTTAGGAAAATTATTTTATAAAAAGTCATTTTATAAAAGAAAGAAGGATGTATGAACATGTATGGACATAATATTTCATATATAATTATAAATGTTTATAAATATTTATACATGTTTATGTATATTTATACATATTTATACATATCACCTTGATCAAAAAGTTCCCGGAATTATCACCAAATGATACTCTGAGTTAGCTGATTTGAGTTCTGTTTTTTTTTTTTTGGTTAGGTTGCCACATCTATCATTGACATTCTCACCAAATTTTATCACCATAGCTTGACATTTGTAAAAGTTATGCCATCTTGAGCCTCTACCTCTGCACGTATTTTCGATTTTTTACAACTCATGGATTTTGCACCATGATAACGCACCGTCGCACAGTGTCATCATTATCCGTGAATTTTTGACCAAGAACGAAACAATACCATCCAACAGCCATTCACCTGATATGGCACCCTGCGATTTTTTTCTATTCAATCAAGTCAAAAAACCGTTACGGGGAACGCGTTTTAACAGCCGAAAGAAGGTAATGGAAAAAACGAAGACGACTCTGACGGTTATACCGACAATAGAGTTCCAGAAATGTTTCGAGAGCTGGATCAAGCGCTGGCATAAGTGCGTTGCAGTCGATGAGGAGTACTTTGAAGGGGACAATCACTTTTGATGAATAAAACTTGTATTTTGAATTTTCTGAATGAATTCCGGGAACTTTTTGATCAAAATAATATGTATATATTCATGCATGAAAAATTTTTTTCCTGATACTATAGTTCATAAATTTTTGCTCGAATCGAAGCAATATTACTCACCAGTAAAATCATACAATCCTGAACCAAAAGCTGAAATTACGAAATCCGCCTTCAAAATGACCTTTTGTTCTTCGTCTTCTATCCATTCACCATTCTCATTTTGTTCAGTTCTGCAAAATTCGATCGCGATGATCCTCTCATTGTGAAGGATGACTTGTTTCGGAGATTGAAAAGGTATAAACTCACATTTTTCTTCTTTTGCCAAATCCATCTGAGAAATAATTTTAGAAACGTTATCAAATTTGAAAAATCTTTACCACATATCTTTAATTCTAAATATTTGAAATTAAAAGAAATTTTAAACTTAACTTTAATATTAAAATAAGTTTCTTCTTTCTAATTATTTCCAGGTTAGAAAGATTAGAGATTAATGAAAAGAAGAATTTTTTGTAAACGATGAACGATTAAATTACCTCTTCTGGAACTGCCCGTACGTTGGTGAAGCCTTTCCGAAAGACAACGAAGACTTTTCTAGCACCACATCGCAGAGCAGAAGTGGCACAATCGAAAGCGGTATCCCCCGCACCGAGAATGATCACGTTGCCCCGAAGAGACGGAAGTTCTTGGTTATTCTTGCAAGCGCACATACCCGGCTTACTGCCTTTCGCAACAATGGGCAAAAAACTTTTTGAGGTGAAGAAGCCCATTTCCGGCGTGAGATTTTCAAAAATTGAAATGCTCTTCGGCTCAGGTAATCCGATTCCTAAAAAAATAGCTTTATATCCAGCATTTTGAAGATCCTGAAACATTTTCACATTTATTGATAATGTGTTATTAACAAATTTTTGTAGAACAATATCTTAAAGTTAAGTATTAAAAGATAATGATAAAGAGTTTAAAAATGCGAATTTTTATTTTTAAGCTAATGCAACAAATTAGATAATAAATTTTTATTTTTATTTTAAGTTAATTTTACCTGTATTGTTAAATCATTTTCAGACAATGACCTTCCTAATTCGATTTTTACTCCTAAATCTTTAACGAGATCCACTTCAAAATTAATAACATCATACGGCAGTCTATACTGTGGTATTTCGGAAGAACTTAATCCGCCGACATACTTTTCTTTCTCGAAGATCGTGATATCATCGTAACCGAGTCGAGCAAGAAATGACGCGCACGAAAGAGAAGCTGGTCCGCAACCGAGCAGGGCGATTTTCGTGTTTGCATGAGGTACCGTTTGATTGAATTTTTTGGTCTGAGGAATATTCATTTTCTTGAAAATCTAAAAGAGAACGAATTAATTAATTCTAATATACGAATTAATTAATTATTATATATAAAAAATTTCATTTATTGTTTAATCAAAACTTAAATTATATATAAATATAACTCCATCTTTTTATGTATCATATTATTTTTAAAAATTAAAGAAAAACTAAAGAAAATATTTGGTATATCAGTTTCAATTTCGAAATTTTTTATACAGAATACATCATTATATTATTCTTATTGTTAAACATTTTATAAATGTTATAGTAAATTATATTTTGTAAAAATTTTATTTAATACAATAAATATTATTAATTAAGATTGCCTACATCCACCGCAAAGTGTTGAAGCCCGCCAATGTTAATAGGTCCTTCCTCAGTTGCATAAAGATTACATCCACCCACGCAAAGATCGCTGGTTGGGCAAACCATGCCGCAAGTGAGGCCGAGAGGATTGTCTGATAGGATCGCTTTAGCCGCACCATAGTAATTCTTGTTGGAAATCGAGGTAATGAAGGCTTTAATGTCCAGTTGCGTGGGACAGGATTTTTGGCAAGGTGCATCGACACATTTTAAACAACGTGCCGCTTCCCTCAAAGCTCCACGCTCGCTTAAGGTAGTATGCTTAATGTCATCAAAGTTCTTTGTCAGAGATACGCAACTCTGAGAAAGGAAGAAGAAAAATTAACAGTTTTTACAATTAATGAATATATTCTTGGTATAATATATCTATAAATTCAAGAAAATAATGAGAGAATTATGTCGTGTTATCGGATGATGAATGTTATCGAATGATTTTGCAAATAGGATATTAATTTTTTCTAAACATCACGTAATGCCTGATAATATGATAATCGCATACTATTTATGTTGATATTTCTTTGGAAAAATTTATTTTAAATGAAATTAAGATTATTAAAGATGATATTAAGAATTTACTTAAGAAATTTTTAAATAATTTAAAGTGTATAAAAAATGTTAATGCAAAGTAATCTAAGAAAATATTTCAACTGATTTTAGAGTAATTTGAGAAAGACAGAAGAATTATTTCCATTGCTGAAATTTCAAGTTTTATAGTGAGTCTAGCAAATTAGAGTTCAACAAACTCAAAGTTCATCAATGAACAGTTTGTGACGTCGCTATCAGATGGATTCAGCGATGTTGCATTTTCTCGTAAGTAAAATTCATGTAGGATAAAATAAAAGAGCAACATTACGAGATTTTATTTATTCATATTTTAATAAAATAATTTTCTGAAAACAAGCTGCAATTTATAAATAAAAAGCGTGATATTTGAATACATGATCGAGAGAGTAATCACTAACTGAAATAACATCCCACTGATTACATTTTATTTCATGTGATCTGATTACAAATTTCATTTGATTACAAATGATTTCATTTGATTATATAATGATTTCTCGTAATTACATATGTAATTATCACATTTATAGTGATAACAAATGATTTTATTCGATTAGAAACACTGTGACACGGGGATAACTACTTAATATAATCATAGGATAATGTTCCCAAAATCATGAAATCCTTAAGAAATTCTTATGTAATCATTTTGCAATCAGATGTGTTTATGAAATCAAATAAAATCATGTGGAATCACTAAAAATCATAATAAAATCGTATATAATCAACAGAAATTATTTGAGATTTCTGTGCAATGATTGGAAATTATGTGTAATCACCAGAAGTCACACGTAATCAGCATAAATTATTTTGAATTTCCGTGTAATCATTGGCAATCATAATCATCATGAAATGAAAATTCTCTTAATGATTTATGATGGAAGCACCATAAAATTTTATGAAATTAGTGTAAATAATTCTAAAGGCCGCGACACAGATTTTTGCATAACGCATTGTAATGAGATATGCATACCGTCACTAACGTGTCACTCGCGGCCGTTTTGTCGGAATTACCGGAACTCCGCCGAGTACCGTCGATCGATATCGTTCCTGCTCGTATTGCCGACCAGTGATGTGGTGCCATAGTTTCATGTCAATTTCACTCGCAATATACAATAATTTTCCGCAACTCTATTCTCTTTCACTAAACTCCTAGCTCATTTCTACAGGCTTAGTATTATTCTTTAACATTTTTTATAGACCATTAGCTAATTAATTAATGTAAACGTGCAAGGTCCGAAACTCTTGTATCCAGCACATATTGTGACGAATCAACAGAAGTCGATGACAAAACTATAATTTTTTCATTTCTTTTATTTTTCATATTGTAGCTCGCAGTTAATATTTTTAGCGATACTTTAATTGTGGAGAAGAATTATTATATACTATTTAATCCGTAAGTGCAATTAAGAGAAACGAGTCAAAGAAAATTAATTATACTTCATCATTAAAACAGAACACTTCTCTTAATTTTTTGTTTTTTTATTATTATTAATTATTATTATTATTATTATTATTATATTAAACAGTAACTTTATAGAAAAAGAAAGAAAGATTTACGATGTATGGACATATTTCATATACATATGTATTAGATATAATTATATGTATTGCGCAACTAATTCTGGATCCTTAACTTCAATTGATAAGAGTACCTATTCAAATTTATATATTTTCCCCGCCGTAATATTGGAGCGCCATCTTTAAATTTTCAAATGCACTGTAATTGTTGACGATTGTACTAATCTAATTTAAAAAAGTAGTAAAAACAAAATCGTTCGAAATGCAACATTTGAGACATTGCCTTCTTTTAGTTTTTCAATTGAAAAAAAGTGCCGCTGAAGCACAGGAAATAATTTGTTCGGTTTTGGGAAGATGCTGTTTTCTACAGAACCTGTAAGAAATGATTCTAGCGGTTCAAAAATAGAAATTTCGACCTTCATGAAAAATGTCCGGGACAACCAAAAAAAGCAACGATGACTTTTTTCCGAAGTGGAATTCAACACCTTCCAAAAAAATAGCGCAAATGCGTAGAAAGCGAGACAGATTACTTCGAAAATTAGATAATTATTCGACTTTTTATAAATTAATATCAAAGTTTAGTGAAAAGAATTGAGAATTATGTTGCTAAAATATACAAAAAAAATTTCATGGATTATATTTATAT